TCTGGTGGCCTGGCCAGGGATTGCTGACTTCAGAGTCTTGACCCCTTGCTCTTGGCATCTGTCATTTTATACCAGGAGTGGCCAAACGTACTGGTCCTCCGAGCCACACGCAGCATCTTTAGGAGTGTTAGAGCTGGGGCACAGCTAGGCGGGTGCACGCCGTGGGGCTGAAGTCCCAAGACTCCCCTCTCCATTGGACAGAAGCCCCTAACTCAGCACCTCACCACCCCACTGCAGGGCAGTGGTCCTGAGCGCCCCCACCCAGCCCAGTAGATGGGAAATGGGGGGACACGGAGGGCTTGTGAGCCGCATTTTAATGGTAAAAGCCACATGTGGCTTATGAGTCACAGTCTGGTCACCCCTGCTTTGTACTTTGGCATCACTGGACCCGTGAGGCCTTGTGTTGGGTGTTACCCGGTTTTACTGCTCTCCCTACCTACTTGCCCTGTTGTTTGTCTCTAGCCACCGGTCTGAAAATAAACATGTCCCTTTGCCATGCCCGTTGTGCGTGTTTACACTGCAGCGTTTGGGACAGGTGTCCCCACAGTGGAAGGGAGTTTCCCTGCTGTGATCCCGCCTGGGCCTTTCTGTGGCCAGTTCTGCCCAGTAGAGCAGACTCCATCGGGGGCTGCAGTACAGGGGTAAAGCAGGTCCTGACTACACGGACACCTGAGCAGCAGGAGAAGCATAGAAGGAGCAGAACAGAAAGGAAGCAAGGAGGGAAAGGAAACAGCACTGCCAGACATGTTCCACGGGGCGCCACGCTCCATGCACTGAAGTCAGCTATAGAGCACGGCGAAAGCCAGTGTTGTCTTCAAGTCGTCATTGTCAAGTCCACGTCGAGTCTCAAGTCCCTAAAGTCACTTTCGAGTAAAGTCTCAAGTCGAGTCTCGAGTCTTAATTTAAAAAAGTCAAGTCACTTTTGTACAAGCCGTCAATATCGGCATTTTCGGACAATTTTTTCACCAAGTCGATTTAACAAAATTAGCAGTTCTCAAGTCGAGTCTCACGTCATAAACAATGAACCCGAGTCGAGTCTCAAGTCGAGTCACCTAGGCGATTTGAGTCCGACTCGTGTTCAAGTCGTGGGACTCGAGTCAACAACTCTGGCAAAAGCCACCCTCAGTGTCACAGGGGTTGTGAGCAGGGGTTGTGATCTGCGTGGTCTCCAGTGGGAGAGGATGTTGAACGTAAGGCAAGCGGGTGTGATAATATGTTAACCAGTTCAGGCCTTTGTTCAGGCCAAGGGCGATGGCGTATAACACCAGCTTGCCTTACCTTCAACACCCCATTGACATCAAAAGCTAAGGATGGGACACTTCTAGCCCACTCAATTAGCCTCATTAGCACCCACACTACAATAGACAGGCCATTTTTTTCCTCCTGCTCTCTTTTTATTCTGAGGGTCCCCCTTTTTTTTCTCCACTCCAGATCATCTCATCTGAAGAAGTGGATTGTGCCCGTGAAAGCTCATGATACTATTTATATATTTTTGTCAGTTTCTAAGGGACACGGGACTATTCGCTGTCCCAGCTATGGACTTTTATAGTTGAAAAATAACCAAGAGAAATGATCCAATTCTCTTTTAAATTCCATAGGCGTTGTGAAGAACGTCCATAGCACTGTTGAACCTCTCTAGTCTGGCACCCGTGGGACCTGACCGGAGTCGAACCAGAGAATTTGCTGGACCCCAGTAGGTCAGTATTATCTAGCAGCATCACCATCGACAAATAATGTAATCTACTCGACCGTGGCGAGGAGATTACAACCCGGAAGAGCCGGCGCAGAGCAATCTGTGCGTGCGCAGAACAATCCGCGCATACGCAGAGCACAGAACCACATGGCTGGCGAACGAGGCTCGCTGCCGCTTGGTGAGCCCTGAGCATCACCAACACTTCCACGGCTCACTAGGCTCGCCAACAACATTTAGGGATAAATTAGATCTAAATAACAGCCCAGAAGCCTGGTGGCTGTAAACAAACTTTATGGGATTGTGGGAAACTTGGCAACACCCATGGTAAGTGAACATCCGGCTCACTGAAATCCTGCCGGACCACGGCTGTGGCCAGATCAGAGAGTGCCGGGCTAGAGAGGTTCACCCTGTACTGCGTTTTCTACGGGACTTTTCAATAAGAGGAAATGTAGGGCCGGATTCTCAGCTGTTGTAGATCAGCGCAGCTCTATTGACTTCAGTGGAGCTATGTTCCCTGATGCCAGTGAAAACCCATGAATAATGTAAAGATCTACTGCTAGAACATAAGAATAGCCAGGCTGGGTCAGACCAAAGGTCCATCTAGCCCAGTGTCCTGTCTGCCGACAGTGGCCAATGCCAGATGCCCCAGAGGGAGGGATCACAACAAGGAATCCTCACATTATCCCTCTCCTGTCACCCACCTCCAGAGAAATTGGGACACCATTCCTACCCATCTTGGCTAACAGCCACTGATGGACCTAACCTCCATGAATCTATCTAGCTCCGTGGTCCCCAACCCGGTACCCGCGGGCGCCATGGCGCCCGCCGGGCCCTTTACGTGCACCCGCGGAGCAATCTGGGTTGGCCCCGCCCCTGGGCGTGCGGCAGGTGCCAGCCCTGGGCGCATGGCCGGCCCCGGCCCCAGGTGC